CCCTGCCTGGGACCTCTTTGTCGATTAGGTAAGGGAAATGTAATCTGGTTGCAGGGATCACTGCTAAATGTTTCACCCAAATTGTGACAGTCCGGTGTCTTCTTTGTCCTGCTCCATGCCGAATCGGTATTTTTGAGACGGTGCAAGGCTAGAATTACCAGTTCCAGTGGGCATGCTATTGAGTAGAGAGAGGTGTTGTGTGGGCCAAGTTGAAAAGCGTCATTCTGGCTTCCGAGGAGGCATGGTAACTCCAGTAGGCATGAATGCTATTGAAGTAGCCTGTCCACTGCAAGTCCGATTTTTCAAGTTGTTTGAAAAGGTTGTGCCATGGGCTACAGTACATTTTCAAATTAAGTAGGCGAGTTGTTTGAAAAGGTTGTGCCATGGGCTACAGTACATTTTCGAATTAAGTAGGCGATATGTATTGCTGATACTTATGCGACACTGTTGAAAAAAACTACCTTTTAAGGAAATGCTTTCTTCTTTGTCATTATTCAGGTCATCGAGAGGTTCCTGCACAATAGTGTGTTGGTTGGTCCGATACCAGCGCTGATTCAGTACGTAACTTGAGCAGTTCTATCCATGTGTTTTTTTCTGGGATGCTAAGAGCGCGTTAAGGAGATTAATGCTAAAGGTTCCTGAACTTCGGAACTATGACATCCGGTTTACGTGGAGATTGCGTGATGAAATGTTTTAAGTGAATACCTCGACAGTTCCAGTGTTCCACTGCCACACGATAGGCCTCGCAGTGGGCTGTGAGGAAACGTGTTGCGAGTTACTCGACCTTGCCATTATTATCGACGTATTTATACGGGTGTGCATCGTCACACCCGCATCGTCACGCGGGTAGTCGCTGCATTGCTGAGGAGCTTAAGCGATTGCGCCAGTGCTGCTAGTTTCTTGAGGATCCCTACTTGTGGCGTCTGTCTCTTGTCTTTCTGCTTCTGCAGAATGTTGTCTTTCTATCATCCCTAACTGGGTATCTGTCTCAGTCTTATATGCAATAAAAATAATGTGTTCGTGCTGACACCCATGTAGCAGCGGAAGATGGAGTCGAGGGGTATGAATGTGCAGAGGTGGTATGTTGTTTGGTGGCACTGTTACCCAGTGGAGTGAAGGATGATTCACTCAAGCTTGTCCGATGGAGGCTGCCCTGGCTGCTTGCATGGTGGTTCTTCGGAAGGCATAGGCTCGCGTGTTAAGGCTATCATTACATCACTTGCAAGTTCTCTTGTTGTTGACGTAACCAATTAACGTGAGTGTTTAGGTGAGCTGGTAGTTCATCGTCAAGAAAATTTCGACAACGCGGGAATAAACACGAATGTCCAGAAATGATAGCTTTTGCCCATGTCATCTCTCTTTTCGTGTATTCATGTTCATTACCATGCTAATGAAATTTTATTCTTATTGACAAAGGCCAATAAAATTCTGGATGCATCGTTATCATTTTGGCGCATGTTAAATGTGATGCGATTATGCTGCTTTTACGATCATCAAGGCCGCCCTGTTGGTTAACCAGTACGTTATGAAGTTGTGACCATGACGTCACAAGCAAGCTATCTACTTAAAACGGCAATACCCTATCGATCGCCCTGAGAAGCTGCCAAACAATTGTCGCGAGAACCCTTCGCTCTTGCTCTGTGAGCCGATGCGTTGGCCTCTAATCACTCCCTCGGTAGTCTTCGAGTCTAGCTTGCCCTCTACTCAAGGAGGCAATGAGAGGGAACCCCGAATATCTTGGTTTGTGCCGATCAATGCCTTCGAGAGAGCTATGACGGTATGTACGTAATCAATCTGGCATTGCATTCTCCTCGCTTCTCACACCTCCAATATTGTCTATAACTTCCTCTCTGTTCAAACTCATGAACATAGCCGTCCCTGTAGATAATTTTTTCATTCCGAGCTTTCCTTTCACCACACTGCCTCTTCGTCCACTATCCCTCAAATTGAAATTTCACGTGGTTTTCAGCATGGTTTAAATGGTTTTCGGTGTTATGTATTTTAGCCATTTAATTATTTTAAGCATTTCAATTTTTCAGCGTTTTCGTGTTCGGCCTCTCAATTTCCGGCGTTTTGTAGGGACCAGTCATCTGCTGGGATACTAATGCAAATTCCAGGTAGGGCCCTTAACATCATACGTGGCAGGAGGGAAGTTTCGCCATTTCGGTTTAGAGACCGGACTGGGGCAAACTGCTGGATTGTACACACTTGCCTGGAAAGTTCAGCCTTTGTTTTTATAATGCCAAATGTGCTTGCTTTCTATTTTTGTCACAAGCATGAGTAGGAAGCAGTCCTGGACCATTGTTTGTCACATCCAGAATTTGGAAAACAGAGACTCCCCCCCCCCCCCTTTTTTTTGGCTCCAACAAACTACAAAATGCTTTCTTGCAGTGCCATTTTAAAGAAGCCATGGCAATGGTTGCTGGGAGATATTAAATCATTCGTGCGTCAGCTTTTGTGAACTTGCACTGCATAGATTCTGATGATCCTGCCAAAGCATTTGTCTTATTTATCAGCAGCCACACCGGCTATTTAAGCTGCAGGAAGAGTTCGTTTCCAGACTCTCCGCAGTGTGCTGTGCTGGCAAAACATGTCTAGTATCTAACTACTGTTTAAATGCTCATAAAAGCAATTTCACAATTTTATTATTGCCTTAAATGCACTCCTATTATTCTGACAAAGCTTTCGGGGTGCCTTGCCCAAATCATCATTTGAAGGATTTCATTGTTGGGCTTTCTGGTGCATCAAAATGAAGTATTTCTGGAAACGGGTTTTTTTTTTTGTGCTTGCTTAAACAGGTGGCAAAGCCACCTACCTTGTATGCGCATTGTCTCCATCGGCCCTTAAGTGCTCTTGTACTATCAATACACGGCCGTGCTGCACCGTTAAAACCACATAAAAGTGAAACCTAATATACAGTTATTCAGCATGATGGGTAGCCCAGTCAGTACACAAAATGTCCCAGAAATGTTTGCGTAGATGAATTTAGTATGTTTCAATCCCTTATAAATCCCGAAATAGTGCCAGAGATGCCCTGAACCATTTTTGGATGTTTAGAAGAAATGCTGAGGCAGGGCAATAGTACCTTTCATAGACGCCATGAGAATGAGTTGAGCATGTTCTTAAGTTACAATGTCCTCCGGGGACGTTTTAAAAATGTACTGGAGATGCGTTTCCATTGTTTGTGGTCTGTGCGCTTTCTGCCCCGTGTGCATGTGTTTGCTGTGCAAGTGTTCTTCGTACACGCTCATAATCGATGAACGTGGCAGTGATTGAGAGTTTAATAAATGCAGCTTCTGATCAGAACAGCATCAGACATCCTTAAGCAACTACCCTATTGACCACATGGCTGTACTATAGAGGCATCCGAAAAATTCATTGTCTATTTCGTCAGTGAACTCATATTAAATGCAAAGCATAATTTTTTCGTGAACTGCAAGCAGTTTTGGCATCTATATGTCTATCTATCTAGCCACCAACATCTGGGTGCCCTCGTGACCACCCCCTTAACTTGGGGTAAACCAATATTAGTAGGGGAGGTCGAGATTGTTTGACGAATTAGACTCGCTGGTCACGACACGAATGTCACAATCCCATTGCATACGTCCTCAAACACTTTCCGCAAGACAGTAGCACATACCCACAGACGGGTATGTGCCACAGGTATTAGACACTTTATATCTACATAGGAATTGCGAGAACACAAATGGGCAATTTTAATGTGTGAGCATTAAGGAAAATGCTGACATGGGCTGTGTTGACCAGACGAATGTAAAGAAAAAAAATGTCAGGGTCTTGGCAGGAAACGAATCCAAGCATTCTGCGTGGCAACCAAATATTCCACCACCAAGCCACTCCCAGCTCTCGCAACTGCTTTTTAAATCGACCGTAATGTCCGTGACGCGTCAATAGGGGATGCAGTGATGGCTATCAAAGTTTATCGAAAAGCAACATTATATATGTACTACTACGATACAGCAGTCACGTCGGGTTATGTTCACAATGCACTGAACGCGACTGACAGTTTATATCAACCAAGGAACGGTGCGAACAGACATTGATAAACAACGTCGAGTGGGCAAAGCTTCAAGTCCTAAGGCACCGACTAGTATAAAGGACGGACTAATAGATGGACAGTACGGGTGATAGTGTATTCTGCTGTCGTATGGTTCATTACACAAAGTGACGCCTATGACGCCTGATAATTAGCGGTCACAGTACTCCATCTGCTGTAACCAGTTCTGGCGCATGCACCATGCAAGCATGGCATTTGAGATTTGTTTCCAATATTTATGCAGAGAGATTTCCAGTTCACTAGTGGTGTTAGACTAATAGTGTTAGTCCACAATGTGCAGTGTACCAACAGTAGTACATGAATTATTGAAGCCATGCTTTTGTAGTGCTGCAGTGGAGGGGTATAGCTTATAACTTCAAAAGTTGCCAGTAGCCCCGCCACGGTGGTCTAGTGGCTAAGGTACTCGGCTGCTGACCCGCAGGTCGCGGGATAAATCCCGGCTGTGGCGGCTGCATTTCCGATGGAGGCGGAAATGTTGTAGGCCTCAGATTTCGGTGCACGTACTCAGATTTGGGTGCACGTTAAAGAACCCCAGGTGGTCAAAATTTCCGGAGCCCTCCACTACGGCGTCTCTCCTAATCAAATAGTGTATTTGGGACGTTAAACCCCACAAATCAATCAATCGATCAAAAGTTGCCAGTACGTGAGACACGTGTAACTATATTATGTGTGAGCGTGGATGAGGGCGGAAATCGGTACTTTTGTGCATAGAAATATGGTGGTTCGTCAACGTTTGCAGGGAAAAGTCAATAAAATAGAAAATTTTCATGTCTCTGAATGGGAATTTATAGGCGTAGCACAGAACATCACTGGTAGGATCTGCCTTTTTTTTTTTTTTTTTCTGTAAACACCAAATGCATCACAAGGTTAATTTTGGAAGCGCTATTGCTGCCTTTTGCACAGCAAGGAAGACTAGAACAAATGGAAACGAGAAAACAACTCTTTATTATCATCCAACTCTTTAAACTTTAAATAACGGCACAATCTGTCAAAGCAGGATCCATCGATGCGCTGGCTGCAGCACTTTGCAAAACAAAATCCATGTAGGCCGATGGTCGGTGTACACGCACAAAGGAAAGCAAAGTGAATGAGGGAATGGGGGACACAGAGGGGAAAGAAAAGAACAGAGCTTGCATTGGACACACACACACACAGGCACGCAAAGAACTCTATTTACAGGCAACAATGTGACTGATCCCACAAAACTTCCCCGGAAGAAAAGCAAAACCTGCCATCTCCGCTCAAGATGCTGTGGCATAAAAATTGCAACGCTAAAGCAGCTGACACTACATGCTAACTGGTCGACCGATGTGCGTTTTCCCAGCCTGGGATGGCTTGATTCCCGCGGTAGTACAATATTTACAGTGAAAACGAAATGGTATGCATAATTGGAGCCATGAAGGTGGACGACCTTCTCTTGTGCGCTACGTCTTTGTGCCACATTGCTCTGGACACGCTCGCTGCCTGCTGGGAGGAGAAACTACGCTTCCATCTAAACGTCACAAGACGGGAATCATGGCCACCCGGAGCCACTGCATGGAGTTGTAACATGTCTGCAGCTAACGAGAAACAGAAACAAAGAACCGAAGAAACAGACGGCAACCCCGGAGCAAGGCTAGGGTGGGCCACCGTGAGCATTTCCCCAAAGATAGGGCCGGTGACACGCACAGAGTGGGGATGCACTGCCCTCCACCCTGAAATCACACTTTACAGAAAGGAGGTCCACACGGACAGTCGATGACCCCTGCCATTCCCTCATCTAATAATTGAAACTGACTGGGGCACGAGGCCAGAGCCACGGGTCCCCCGACAGCGGTAGAAGCCTAGGCTTTGCAACAGGCACGAGCCATAGGAACTGTTGGCTGCCGTAGTTCCCAAAGTTTGGCTGGGCTGTTATAAAGAATGGCCAGTCGGCGTACGACCTTGGTCTAGAATATGCGGAAGCATTCGAAGTTCCTGGCTGCCTGACTCTAGGAGTGCTGGACGACTTGTACGAAGCTGAATTTTGATTCCGTAACCCTCTTACGGCGCTCTTAAAACCCCCCCTGTGGGGACTGAAGAGTTCGACGTGTGCACCATACTGATCGTCAGGTGCCGACAGCCCCATGTGGAAGGGTGGTGGGCACGCCCGCCTACGAACCGATCGATTTCGGTGATTACTAGTACTTGCAGGTCGTGAGCTGTAAGCTCCACGATGCAAAGGGTTGAGCACCGCTGTGATCCGTTGTTTGGAGGAGGGGTGTGGCCTGCAGTGTTGGCCGTAGCTGTCAGCCTCGTGATGCACGGTGTAGCATGGCAGCGTGGTGCGAGCTGTTGCAAAATGCTGTGGTGACCGATGTGACACTGTTTCGGATGACTGGTGATGCTTAATGAAGGCCGCCTCAAAGTGCAGGGGTGAAGGTGACACTGCACTGAATGGCATCTCATGGAGCTTGATGTCTGGCGTGTGGCCACCAGTGTGGTGGCACGTCAGGTGGCACGACTGACCACGTGTGGTTCGATACTGCGCCTGCGGCAGTGATGGCAATGAGGACGCCGCCCCCCATGGTCCGTGGAGCCCCCGGCATTGGCGCCGCCGCTGTGAGCCGGCAGCCACTTCCGGGGCCCGGACAGTGTGCGGTCAGAGGGGATGTTCTAGCCACCGAGCTACGCCGCGGTTGACCATTTCTCGGTTGATGAACACACTCGAGACTCCCTGTACTCTGTACAGGTGCACAAGGGGAATACCATTGTCGGCGTAACCAACAATCAGGGCTTGCAAGATCTGTCCCTGTGCCAGATCTTCGAATGTGGCACATGCTTCGGGTGACCACAGATTGTCATCTGCAAAGAGAGAACACGCCATCTGACATACCGGTCTGCCACTAGAAGTCTTGCATAACTGGGCTCATGATATGTCGGCAGCATACTACCCAGAGTAAAGACCTTTCCCTCCCCTACTACAAGGCCCTGAAAAATATGGCACAGCAAGTATCAAGGCCTTCTGCCAAAGATTTCAATATGATTTGATAAAGCTTTTACAAGGTTTAGAGAACTGCCCTACTTATTTTTACAAAGATTCAGAGTACAAACGTAAGTAAGAGATCAACTCATAATTGCAGCTGATTTGTGTGTGGCAACATGCAGTAAACAAAATTAAGTGCCTATCTGGTTGCTCACATCACAATAGTGAATTGGACCTGCATTTCTCTTGCCTTTACACGTAATGTAAGGTCACTGTAAAAAAGGCTTTGCTGGTGTTGCATTAAGCTTAAGTAGTCTCCAGCTCAACACAATTGAATTTTTCATGTTTGGGGTTAATCTTTTTATACTGTGCCATGAATGAATACGTCACAGCTTTGTTGTAATGCCAACTGAAAATTAAGTGAAGTAATACCAATAATATTCAGTGTTCCATGCACCAAGACCACACTATGATTATATGAGATGCCGTAATGGAGAGGTTAGAAAATTTTGACCATGTGGTGGTCTTTAATGTGCACTGACACAGCATACTGGCCAAGTGCTGAAGTCTACTCCGCCACAGACATAACCAAACAATGATAACAACATAAGTTGCGTTGTGTCCTTCTTACAACTTCATTGCATTTAGTCTACCACTTCATTAACTGAGTACCTTTGCAGCTCGTAGTTGCTAACCATAAAACAAATCTTTGTGCACAGTGGTTGCAGCAAACAGTACAATCCAACTGCGTGCCTGCTGGCCGCATTGTACATGGCGCCTTTGGCCGTAGCTCAACAGCTTCGACACCAAAGTTCGTCACCTGCCGTGGCGTTGGAAAGTTTCGAACATCCGCTTTTTTACCTACTGGACAGTAGAAATAGGCTGGGGAATTTGATGAATTAATATCAGACCGAAATTTGTATCAGCTATGTTCATATCCCCATCTACACTTTAGTGGAGAGAGAAGCCACCAGGGTGGGAAAGTGACTCACCTTCAGCAGGTTGCACATTGGCGAGGTAGCACTCTGAAGCCTGGAATGGCAGCATCATGAAGTCACTCCTGCAAGAGAGAGAGTGAGAGTGCATTTGCTGACATCTGCGGAATTTTCAGGTGGGAAACAGGTCCGATTTGCAGGGTTTTTACGGTACATGTTACACAAGTGCTACAATATCGTGATCCCATGAAGGTCTCAGTAACTGGTACATTTAAACCTCGATATAACGAACATGGGTAAAACAAAATATTGGTTATAACGAATTACAGTTGAGCCCACATACAACGGCCCGACTTGAAACGAATGCTCGCTTAAAACGAACAATATCTCCATGACCACGAAAATACACATTGTTTCAATGGCACAAAATCACGTTTACAACGGAACGTCTCCGAGCACCGCCGGTTGGTTACAGCTCGCGCGTTACCGACTTAGCGGGAAACCACTTCAAACTACCGATCAGACATCAGCAAGGTGCCCATAGATTCTTTTTGGTAAACGCCAACCCTGCCTCTGCAGCCCTCTAGTTGCCGCTCTCCCCCTTTGTACCCCCCCCCCCCCCGCTACTATGAGCACCCCGCATTGCCAGACGAGGCCCGTGTTTTTTACACTGCCACCGATTTTTCAAAGACCAATCAGCCATCTTCCCTGTTTTTGATCGCTGGTACTGTCGCCACCTTCGCCAGCCTGAAGTGACCAGACCATTTGTCGACGTCGTCGGCCACCGACTGTATCCTATAGTTTGCGTCTTGTTTTATCATATCATTCTAGTACACGCCCATACGCTAGCCCACCGACTCTAAGAATTAGCGATTCGTTTTGTGTTAAGGATCTGTTCTCGCTCACGTCGCACTTGGCTCGGCATGCCACCCGCACGTGTGCGTAAGCGTAAAAACGGCTGTTTATCTGCGCAGAACGAATCGTGAAATATCGGAAGTCAGTGAGGCCACGCGAACCCGCTGGCGCAACAAAACGATTCTTTGACCACGGCCGCCGATTCATTGAATGTGATCTAGGCGGCCGTGTTTTGACCTCTACGCGCACAGACACTCTTTCAAGTTTTTCTACGCCTGAGTTGCGCGCTTCGCGGACCTTTAAAGCAAGCTACCTGACCTGCCTCCTTCCCGCGCGTTATGGAAGGTCGCCTTCCCACCGTATCCTCCCCTCTCGTCACCCTTCGCAACTTCTTGCCCTTCTCTCGCAAATCTGCTCTCCTCTCTTGATAACAACTCCTTCGCCTGTCTCCACCGCTCCGCGACGCCAGCCACGCTGGCTTGATTTCAGAAGTTTCGTCCGATTAGAAACAGGCTCAGAGCTTTACCACACGCAGTGGCATGTGTGTCGCGTGTGCACGTCTCGCTCGCTCTTGGTGTGCGCGTGTGTGGTCGAGACGCACTCAACAAAACTTCGAAAGTGGGACCACTTGGCTTTGGCGTAATCTGCACGTTAAGTGCCGCGTTGCGGAGCGCTTGCTGTTGACTGCCTGGCAGCCAACTTGCCGCTTCGGGCGTCCCGGTATTCAGCTGTGGGGATGGTGAATATTTCGTGAGCGCAGTCTACATGCATGCGAAACTGTTTCCGTGAGGCCGACTTCGTCTACATCAGGCCCGTTAACGAGCCTGAAGCCTCCGAACAGGACCACTGCGGCGGCGATTTGTGGCAATGCGTCGTCCACTCCGACATGGGAAGCAGGTGGGATACCTGTTGCAATAGCTTCATTACGGCCGATGATCATGATGCCGACACCACGGAACCGTGCACGGATTAGGGCATTGTGAATGAAGTACGCGGCAAGAGCGATTTGAAGGAATCGAATTGCGAGAATGACGAAAGTTTGGTGTTAGTGCTTCACGCAGCTTACCGTATTTACTCGATTCTACCGCGCCCTCGATTGTATTGCGCACCGGGTTTCCAAGACGAAAAAAAAAAAAAAAGTAAGACATCGATTGCAACGTGCACCCATTTTTCTCGTTGACCCACACCATCACACCACTCGGGAAAAAGACTCCTTTCGGGAGGTACGGGGGAAGCTTGTGCCTATCTGACGTGCAACGGAGCATTGCCGTCACTCTAGTTTTACTGTGGCCCGATGTCAGTACGCGAACTTGCTTCGCCACCTTCTTCTCGACGGTTGTGGTGCCAGGCATGTCGAAGTAAAGAGCCGTCTGATCGGCATTCCCGATTTGCCCAAGCAGGGAGCCGTTGTTGTGCCGCAAGTTTTGGACGAACCTCTGAAAACTGAAGCTTTTCTTCGTACTCCTCCGGCAACTTTTAGCGTATGCCCGTTCGCCTTCAGAGGGAAAAGCCTTTCCTCTTCATAAAGTTAGTTAGCCAGCACCTGCTCGCTTTAAACTGGCTCCGCATTGGCTCTCTTTCTAAGGCTAACTGCATAGCCTGCACTTGAAGCAGTTCTGTCGTCACGGGCCCCTGTGCCGCTTACTGCTCAATCACATACTCGCCGAGCAGCTCTTCAATTTGCGGAAACCGACCCTGCTGTGGTCCGCTGAAGCCTTTGCGTGAATCTTTGCTGTCGACAATATTCTGCTTTTGTTTCTGCCAGTCCCGCACGCACGTTTCGGGAACTCCGAATGACCGCGATGCAGCCCGATTTACGTCCGTTTCGGCACACGCGATGACTTTTCTTTTAAAAGCGGCATTGTGGTGCACTCGTCGAGTTTTTGGAGTCGGCCCTTCCATGCGGTCAATGCTAATGCACACCAAGATGACGAACTTCTCAGCACACGTACGAAGTGCTGCACATGCGAAACCCATAGGCAGAAATGGCCGACGCGCCATGCCGACGCACGTAGGGGGCGGCCATTTTGGAATGCCGATGGCAATAAAATGACCGTATTAATTTTTTTTTTCAAACTCGATTCTAACGCACATGCGATTTATGAACTCGCTTAACAGGAAAAAAGGTGCGCCTTAGATTCAAGTAATTACGGTATGCCACCACGGGCCTCGGCGAAGAGCACGCAGTTGTTTGAAATGAACTTGAGGCCAACTCTTATCGCTTCTGCTCATCGAAACACGTGCGTCAGACTTCTTTTTGGGCAAAAAAATGTTTTTTACTCGCAACTTTTGAAAAGCTGTGTTTCATTTACTACAAACTACGGGATACAATGAACGAATGCCATGTCAGGCACAGGTTTGTTATCAAGGGGGCTCGCCTGTAAGTGAAAAATAGTTTCGCAACAGCTACAGTGCTAGGAATATACCTTTATAGCGTAATTCTGGATATAACAGACTTATTTTCGTGTAAGATGCAACTTCTTTAGTCTATGTCTAAAACTGTGCACTTGTCTTTTTGAATGCAGTCTACTGGAGTGGAATAAATGTATACTTGCTTACATTATAAATCAGCAGAAGCCTACTATGTGGGCGTGTTTTTCCCCCATACTGAATAAATATGTGCATCTTGACCTCATTTTATGAAAGAGCTGTATTAAGCACTCTTAAAATTTTCTTCACAATGCAGCCACAGCGCAAGACCTGCACATTTATAAGCGACTCCTCCTTGCTCCTCATGCTCAAAGCTGCGGTACAGAGCGGTGGGTGTTTGAAGAGAGAGAAAATGCCGCTAAATGGGCAAAATTGTGGGACAGTACCTAATCTGGCGGAGCAGTGACGTCGACAGGGTCATGTAGCCGCCGTAGTCGAGGAACTTGACGTCGCACTCGTCGCTCTCCTCCGAGGGCCCCACCACCAGCGCACGGTACCAGCCGTTCCACACATGGGCTGCACAGATGATGCCCGCTGCAAGGCAGAGAGGGAGACAGTGCACTTGTGACGCACGAGAAAAAAAAGAGAAGGAAAAAGCAAACAAACAAGAAACCCCCTTGGAAATAGCTGATAGAGCATTATGAAAAAAAAAAAAAAAGACAATTCCAAGATTTGCGATTAAGCAAAGTGTACTAATATTAATATATACAGAAAAAAAAATCATGAACATTTATGCAGTGGCAATATTGAACACAATTTCTCTCAAATGACAATACAGACAGAAAGGAAAGCACTATGACACAGAAAGAATTTTGTGTAGTCCAATAACACTCTCCCTCTGCCTAACTGGGCAGATATTATTCCTCTAGCTAAAGGGCCTACGGGAAAGTACATCTATATGAGTGCAATGTTTCAGACAATACCGCAAGTGAATTACAATATGCATCCACAGAAAACCTTCATGAAAACATTTCTCTTGAAGCAAATAGTATATCCCAGTCTAGCATATTATTCGACAGCCTTGCGAATGCACATAGTCACTTGATGCACATAGTAACATGACGATGAATGTAGATAATTAAATTTTTGCAGAGTGTGATGCAGGTACAACATTGCAAAATAATTATTTCATTAAGTGCCCTTGACATTGGGAAGTTTCACACTAAACCCACTTATAATTGCACCGCTGCCAAAAATTTGCTTCAGCAATGAAGCAGAACACGCTTGTCTGATTACCGTATTTACTCGCGTAATCTTTGCACTCGCATAATTCTCGCACCCCCCACATTTCCCAACAAAAATAGGACTTTTTTCCTCGTGTAATGTTAGCACCCCTGAAAATTGCCGCAATAATGCCGTCTGCTCGTTACAGCCATTGATGATGTAGATAGTGCGAGCCATTTGAAGCCATCTCTTCAGCATCAAACGTACTATTATTGCACAGAGATTCAATCCAATCCAAGCCAAGCCATAACTGCCAGCCCGTGTTGCGGTACTTGCTACACAGCCAGACGGCACTACCTCTCCAGGTTGCGCAAGCTTGTGGCTGCCGTGATCTAGCAAAGTGCTAATGCAAACTAGCCATTGGATAAGCTAGAAAGGCCCGATATATTTATGCAAAGAAGGCTAAATAGACAGCTAACTAGACGGCGGCCATCTGAAGTCCCATTTCACTTTTTACATAGGCAGCAAAATAGACAGCTTTGACGAGACGGCATTATAGACAAAATTAATGCAGGCTACTTTGCTGTCCAAGCAAGATGGCGCCTCAGCGAATTCGCTCGGATGGCTCAGATCTTGCCGGAGTAGTCCTCTGCACACAAGCTGAAGCTTTTTGAGACGCTCAATGTGAGTAACATGCAATTTTTCTTAGATATGAACTCTAAATAGGCTAAAAAATTAACAGTTACGTTTGTTTTTATCTTAGCTTTTTCTTCCCGACGCGAGGTCTTGCCACATAGACGCAATCCAGACGCGGTCAATTTCTCAGACAACATGGGTGCGATGCTGTCTTCTGAGCTGTCAGTGTAACTGTCTAGAACTAGAGCACAGCCTCTGTGTGGAAACAGTTTCTGTGTAATATAAAGTACGTACACGGGCAACTTTCCAGTGGGTACGGTATTACCATACCCTAGGCACGGTAAACCAGTGCTGCTAAATTAGAGCAGGTTGTGTTACCAGGTTTGGGGTGAAAGCGCACCTTCAACAGGATGGGGCAGAGGCGGAATGTCCAGGCCCTGGCCGTAGCACGCTGCCATGCACGAGTCTAGCCGTGACAGCGACGGATATGTCGGGTGAGTCGGCTGCTGGAGGAAGAAGTGGCCTGCAGTCACCATGCTGGTGAGCACCACATCACAGGTCACACCTTCGGGCAAGCGCAGCTGAAACAGAAGAGCAAGCACGCCACCTGTCAAGTCACCAAGCCGAGTGGTGATCCCTTCAAAAAACATTTGGCCTGGCAATTATGTCCTTGTACTAACTGGCACAGCTGCACTCTACATAACGTGCAACACGGTAGCGCGTGGCAAGATCACCCTCGTAGCTTCCACTGTACTTGGCGACAACTTATCTTGACACTTGAGCGAAGGCTCCAGAGTTATGCACGTTAGTATTGCTTCTTTAGTAGTACAACAGTATGCGGCCAATTTCGGTTTTGCTCACTGGCATCATTAATGCATTTAGAAAGTCACATGCGCGAAAAATGTGAATGAGAGAAACATCTAGATTGTTCTGTGTACTTTTTATTACAACAGTTCGAGTAAACTTTTCTTGGAGAACTAAAAGGTGCATATGCAGCCACACACTGATCCACTCACCTCGTGGATGCAATGTTTACTTTGGAAAATGGGCTTGCTCGAAAGGTGTCGCCGTCTAAGAAATTGAATGAAAAGGAAGGCAGTCTTGCGAAGTGTACAATAACTGCATTCTACCTACAACTTCCCAGAACTGTTTTTTCAGGATGAATAAGGCAGCATTTATTCACGCAAGACAAATGAGAAAACTATAAGCACACTAAGTTGCTATTTTTTTCATGCAATAGTAGCCACACAATTCTGTTCTGTAGCTTTTACAGAGCTGTCAAAAAAGTTGTAAGCACTGCTCTCACGTGGGGATGATCTGAAATAAGAGAAAGTCGTTTAGCTGTGAAAACTAGGGCAATTTGGAGTCATGCTCAATATGCAGGCTTGAGGGGCCATGTGCTCCTGTTGCTGCAAGGCATAAAAGTGCAACTGATTCACGACGTTACTCACCCTGGTGTTACAGTAAGTTCAGCAGAACAAGGGGTCTCTGTTAGCGAAGCCATAAAATTGCTCTTAACATTCAACATTACTTAATATGCTAGATATTTTCAAAGATGTCCAATCAGGACAAAGGAAGTGAGCATGAATAAAAGGAAGAGGTAACACATGGCAAGACTGGCGATGTTACGCCGCGAAATTTGACATTACTGGCCATTTTGGTGCACATGGTGAGTTGGTGACATCTGTGCAAAATTATATAAAAAAAAATCTGGCTGACTGCACATCTAAGAGCAGAGCTTGGCAATCAGCCACGTCAGGGTAAAGTTCCCATTTAACAGGTGCAGTGAACTGTGCCTTCTACTTTTGTAGACAAAATATTTACGATGATAAGTGGGGTTTAATGATGCAAAACCACCATATGATTATGAGAGACGCAGAAGTGGAGGGCTTCAGAAATTTTGACCACCTGGGGAGACGAAATATTTATTGATGTGCACATACATGAATGGTGGCAGCTGCATTTATAGGGAGGGGAGGGGAAAGCACAAACAAAAATTGTGTTGAAGGCAGAGAGAGCTACAGTGAGATTGCTCAAATGTCCAAACAAAACATGCACTGCCATGAGTAGAGTTACCACTGAGGTGAAAGTGACATCATTGCGTTGGCCTCGGCGCGCTAGGCGCGGTCCGGGCAACTGCCAAGGGCCTTTGTGGTGCCGCCCCTCGTTGAACCACTTCGGCGAAAGGTGTTCTTAGTGCCGATGATGACGAGATCCGTTGTCTTGCTTCCCTAAATGTGATATTTTCCTTAACTTTTATAGTTATTATTTCTTTTTCATTTTTTCCAGGCTGGGCATGCTCTGGAGTATGCGGGGTGACTACCTTCGCAATTAGCACAAAGGACCTCGCGCCATGACTACATTCATCAGCACTGTGGCTGGTTGTGCCACACTTAGCACACATCAGCTGCCCTCGGCAGCTCTGGGATGCATGACCAAATCGCTGGCATTTGAAACAACGCCTCAGGTTTGGAATGAAGGGTCGGACATGGAGTTTTATATAGCCAGTTTTGAGAGTCTCAGGTAAAGTGGTTGAGCTGAAGGTGAGTATCAAGTGCATTGTTGCTATTTTGTTGTTGTTACATCTGATTTTAATGCGCTGGACATGTATTACACCTTGGTCCTTCCATCCATCAAGGAGCTCTTCTTCACTCAGTGTCATCAAATCGATACCACGCCCTTCACTGTATTCATGGTACGGTGTGCGCTCACAGAGACGGGGATGTTACCAAAGGCTACAAGGTGCAAGAGTTTATTGTACTGTTCCTTGTCTTTTAATTCGAGAAGCAAATCTCCACTTGTCATCTTCGTGGCTTTATAACCGGTTCCAATGATCTCTCTCAAGCACTTGGCCACAAGGAAGGGCGAGATTGCTCTAGCTTTTGTAGATGATTGTTCGCAGTGGAAGACATGGTATTTTGGGAAAGTTTCTCCCTTTTTGGGCCAATGTAGTGCAGTTGCGTCGGTGCGTACCCTTTTCGAGGCATGATCAGTTAGAAAGGAGATCGAGGATCCCATGGAAAAATGTGGATTTTTCGGTAACAGCGCCTACCACCCACCAGGGAGCCCAACAAGGGGACGTGGCAGAGCATATGGACATGTCTGCGCAACGCCAGCAGTACGCAGTTACTATAACCCAATATAGTTTACCCTAGTTTGGATAGCCACACAAGGTTGACCCTTGCCGCTCGGAAAAACAGAAGTAAATTGAAGAGAGGAGAGAACAGGAAAGATTGAAAGTGAGAGAGAAAGACGAAGATGAGAGGGAGAGACAGGAAAAGGCAACTGCCGATTTCCCCTGGGTGGGTCAGCCCAGGGTGCCGTCTACGTGAAGCCGGGGCCAAAGGGGTATGTTGCATCTGCAGGGGGGCCTTAAAGGTTTGATCACACAGCATCAGCTCAACCCCCAGGACCCCCTTTTCCCCGGACACGACAAAGCCACGCACGGCTAGGCGTGGGAGAGAGCCGGAACCCCCCCTGTTAGCTCGGGTCCGTGGTGTCGCTACACACCAAACGCCTGCTTAGTTATGAGCCCGCTTAGTTCTGTTATTAATGAGGCATTTTCGTTTATTGGGAGTCCAATGTATTATCTAAAGTAGAGGTGCAATACAGCAGTAGAAGTGCATACAGTGATAAATGCTTAGCATGAAACAATGAACTGGTCTGTGTGACAGTAGAAAATATTGTGTACCAGTGAATGAGAAGTCCCGTTTTGCACCTAGTGTTGTGGTTCACGGTAGACGGAGCACCACTAGATGGCATGGAGAGCGATGCAGTCTGGTACATGCTCATGTAGTCCATAAACTTTTTGGCATCTGCTAGCGTAGTCAGTGAACTTTTGTGGTAGACTGTACACACACATATTCCCCTGGCAATCGTTCGCATAAATTATGCGAAAGTGAACACAAGCAAAGCAGCAGCAGCTGGGAAAAGGAGGGATGGAGAAGCACCCCATAGAATACCTGTAATGTCTCTGGCAGCGTGATTGTGCCTGGGTAGTGCATGGGCTCCACGTTCACTTGAATCAACGTCAGATGGGGGTAGACATGCAGGGGAAACTTCTTCCTGATGAGCTCCAGTGCTGTGCGTATCTCCTCTGTCGTACCTGCGTGGTTATTGAAAGCAGTGAATACACCATGTGAAACCCCTCGCTAGTGCCACCACAGGACATTAGTATACAGTCGCACCCCACTGCAACGAAACCGACAAGGCGCAGAAAACATTTCGTTGAAGCGAAATTGGGGGGAAAAAAAGCCAACCTGACCTAGCAAAACAAAGGCATTTATACTCAAAACGTGTCCGCTGCTTTTTTTTTTTTGTTTCGCCCAGCGTTTAGACGCTATTCTCACACATGCATAGTGCCACCATGTTGAAAAACACGCTAAAATAACGGCCACAACAGCTTTTGTGAACAAACCTAGCAGCTGGACCAGCATGCTATCCCCAGCAGCTGTCTGCCATCAGAAGGTATCTGACAATGCTGAGATGCAGGCGTGGCATGCGGAGTGGCGACTTATGCCTCATTCTATGTTATTCTTATCATCCACTATGATGGCTAGCTTATCTTGTTGATAACATAGACGCACAGCCACTCTGAGCAGTGACCACACTGGCCAAGCTCGAAAATAACCAAAAGCACTGGCATAAATGAGGCACCATTCCGCGATTCAACCCAGCAGCAGCGTGTAGAAAACCAAGCTTCAGCTTCAGATTGTCTATGACTCAGAAGCAAGCCAGTGGCAAAAACAGGGCAGTCTCATTGCCATCACTGTTGAGCAATGGTGGCCTCCATGCTTGGTAAACGGCAGCGGTTTCTGGTGATGCCAATGCCCGCTTTAGACTTCGTAGACGTATTTTCTTGTTCGAAAAATGCATCAAAAAGCTCAACATTGTGTTTACAGCACAGCATTAAATATCTGAGCTTGAAATTACATTGTCAATTTTCGCTGAAGCGGAACGACAGAAGAAAAAATATTCGTTCTGACGAGAATATTTATGCATAGACTTCAATTGCTGTCGGGGACAAGAGAATGTCATTGAAGCGGTGTTCATCGTAGCGAGGTTTGACTATACAAGGGTGGCCATGTGTGCAACACTTTCGTGCTCACTACAGATGAACACCTATACAAGGAACCTGTGCCGTTCTTGTCCCTCGTATATGAGGTCTCTGCATATGCAAAATAGAATGAATGTGACTAACACAATGACGACCCACAGAAATGCACAAGCCACTACGCACATTCAATACTTTCCCTACAATGGTATTAAAGAATGATTTTTCTTCAGCAGAGACAGATGGTTTTTGTCAGTTAAATTTAGCCAGGAATGTTGCGCTTAAAATTCATTTAGATGCCTACATAAGAATATTTTCTGGCCTAAATGTCTTACTTAATGCATTGAATGAATGGGTCCCGTTGCAGTCTTGTACTTTGGGACCCTCTTCTGTATATTTTACTCCCTGTAACATTATTTTATGACATGATAATAAACTGATTGATTGATTGATTGAAAATATGCAAGATCTCCACCAAGTAGACACTGCGAACGCCTTCCTTGGAGAACCAAATTCGAATACATATCTGCAGCGGGTGAGTGGCTAATGCACAGTTTGCTATGAGCATTTTTCATAGTACTGATCTTTAGTGCACATTTCAACGAGTTGTCTAAACAGAAGTCTGTTTTACCAAACTATACAAACAACTGCATTGACTTGCACTAGATCTTGTTAAATGCATCCTCATTATCCTTCTCGGCATGTTTTAGTCCAGTGCAGATGAAGGCCTCCGCCAACGATCTCCAGCTCACCTTATACTGCCTTATACTGTGTGAGCAGTCTCCATTTTTATCAAGGCAAAATTCTTAATTTCGTCGCTCTGTTTAACTCCCTGCCTTCCCCAACAGCGTTTCCCATCACTTGCTAACCATTCCACTGCTCTTGCTGTCCACCCAGTCTTACACATTGAGTGACCAGCCCAGTGTTTTTTATAGATGCAAAGCAGCTCTTTGACTAACCTCGCTAGTGCTTTCCCTTCGCTGCAACAAGCTCCACTTACAGCACGTGCTGGAGCGGTGCCAAGTAGGTCACGCCCCAGCTGAACAGTGACAACAGGCTCCCCTCGCAGTGCGCTCTGACCTCGCTTTCTCTTTAACCTGCCGCTACCGCAGGCGGCTACACCAAAGACTCATCGGTGCACGCACAATAAACGTGACGTCCGCCTAACGTAAGCATTGAAACATGCCTGCATGTGTTATCTCTCCCTTCACCTTCTCCACCGCTCAAACGCATATCGAGAGGTAACACTCTTTCGGCTAGTTGATCTGCAATAGAGAGAATGCTGGAAGAGGACGCTCCTTTGCCCGAAAAAGCATGCACATCTTATCAGCGTGCACTTCACAGATCACAAGGCCATGGTAATCAAGGGGAAATGCTCGCGAACTCCTGTCCAGCGCTCGTGTCCACTCTGAAGAAATGACAAGACCTACGCCAGCCATCCCTTCAAACAAATCTTCCAGTGCTCATCACAGCACCCACGTTAGCGCCGTTCAACCTGTGACACCACTCGTGCGCAACGCTGCTGGTTCACATCCCACAGGGTTGCTTTTAAGAAGATGGTGTGATTTTTTTTTCTTGCTGTCAACTAGGATATCTAGCTCCTGTGACCTCTTACCTATTCTGCCGTCCTCCCATATGTTAATGTTATTCTTATTATTTAACATTCCATTGCCTGCTGCGTGGTTCTCAGTTTTTTTTCCTAGTGTTTTTTTTTATTCTCCATGTATCAGCCCAATATACGAAGCAAGATATGAAGGGTCTGCAAAGAACTGTCCCCATAAGCTTAATAATATGAAAACTATTTCAACGAAACACCTTTGGCACCATCATCATCATCAGAAGCAAACTAACGTAAACTGCCTCTTGTAGTCACACTACTATGTACAACCTTATTTCACTAGATACCAGCAAACTTGCTACATAACCTGCGGTCTGTGGATGACAGATACACACACAACTGAGCCTTGCTTTGACACTTCCTCAATCTAAATATTAGCCTCAATACTACCAGGAAGACAGCGAACAGAATGTGTCCTCTTGCCAGACATACAGCCCATTTTTAAGTTCAATGGGCCTAAAAATCCTATAAACTGTTTGTGACTGCAGTGAGCATGCACATATATAAACAAACAAGCCAAGAACGAAATCCATGCACACAATTCTCCTTCCCCAAAATGCACCCGCACCTTGAATGGAGCAAATCTTGAGCTTAGAAGAAAAGGGATGCTGCTGCACATATATGCGGGTGTTGGAACGAGTTTTGATGGCGGTCACGTTACGGCCACCCTGGCCGATAAACCGGCCGCACAGTTCTCGCGGCAGCTCGAACTCATACGTGCGTGGCAGCTCTTCCTCGGGAGAGAGGTTCCCAGCACCACCGGCTGCCTCACTGCCACCATGGATATCACTGCCACCCTTGCCACTGTCGCTGGAGCCCTGAGAAGAGAACAATGAAGACCCCAAATCAGAATGACTGCAAAGACTGATATTTTGCATACATCTAGTAAATTAATGAACCAAGCTGCGAGAAAACTAAAATGCAAATTGAATGCTTGAGAATGTGCATGAGAATCAACAAATCGAACTCTTGACACCGTAAAGAAAAACAGCACTTATCTTTTTTACCATGCCCAGGTAATGCATGGGCATGGTACGTGGTAATAGAAATTAACAGCAAATGAAAAATATCGCATTTGCAAAAAGGCAGAAAACTAGAACTGAAGCCCAAACTGAGAACTGTCCTTGTGTGACATATTCAGTGCGCACACACACACACACACACACAGTATTCTGCTGCATTGGTAGTGTACATTTCTGGCTGCAGCACAAGTTTGATGGTGTCGGCCACCCACACTTTGTTTCGATTTCTAGCTTCTTGACACTGTAGAGGCTAGTAGGCTACATCCTTGAGCAGCTGTACGAGTGCTTTTGTAACTTATGATGCCATTCCCAGCCTCACGTCGCTGCTGAGGCCAGCAATTTTGAGGAGCCAAGAAGACTGTTCGATGTAATCAATATAGTTCACTTGCAAGCAATCTATCGACCTGTGAAACTTGCAATTCCGCATAAATGACAGAAGTGTGCAAAGAAACATACCCAAGAAATTTCATCAACATCCTCACGCCTCGAAAAATCGCCAGAGTGGGCCTTTTAATCAATATCAAATAGAAAGAGAAAGTCTGTACCCTATGCACCTATACAACAGTGAATGTGCTATTCAGAGTGCCATCAAGTCAGCAAATCCTGACCCCAAGTGCTTTGGACAAGCAGAAGTTGTACTAGCGGAATAGGTACTCCCCTCTAGCATTAAGGTGGAGAAACATGCATATACAGCTTACATTGCATGTCATCCACTAGATGGCAGCATTTTCTCGAGAATTTAGTGTTTTCCTGCGATAGCAGCATAGTTTTGCTATTGAAAGACTGCATGCGGTGGTGGCGGCCCATGGATAGGTGGCCCGTGGACATGAAAAAGAAGCTATTCGCTTTTGTTGTTTTTTTAAAGTGAGGATGATTCTAGTACAGATATTTATCTTGTGTCTAAAAGTGAAGACAGCGATGATCGTGACTTGAGTACCTCCTCCGGTGATGATGAAGAGAGCTCTGCACTAACACTGCGAGTACCTGCCGATGACGCCGCGCTGCGTTATTCCACGTTTTGAAATTTCCCACACAGGCACAAAGCTTCCATAGTGATATAGCCCTAGGGTGCTCAGCCTGCACAAGTGGGAAAAAAATGTGGACTCTCTAACTGTTTTATTTATAAGGTTCTTAACTTTATTAGCAGCAAGTGGCTGGTTTCCTATGTAATGTTCAGAAATGAACTTTATTCCATTATTTGACCAAGCATGTCTGAAAATATTTTTTTAAACATTGACTAGCTATCTTGTAGTACAATCAAATTCAAAATAACCATAACAAAATAGATACTTTCTGACCGGAAATTTTGAACGATAACAAAAAAGAGCACTTAAGGGGTTAACGAAAGCATAAGCATAAAATGCCTCCCAAAAGTGCAAATAGGAACCACATTTTTGCTATGCCACCAGTATAATCCAGTAAGTTTCACATGACATGCGTGTTAGTAGTTATACAATAGCCAAGTTTGTCATCTACAAGCAGAAGACACCATGCGCTCAATTTACTCACTTCTCAAGACTTTATCAAAAACCCTTCAATTATTCACTAGATGAGAAAAACAAATGGCAACAGTTAGGCGAACAAGTTTTCTGAAACTAACAAGTCAAAATATGGCTTATGATACCTGTAGCGAAAATTCGAGTACAAACATGCACAGATAAAACAAAACACAGAGGATGCTTTAGCTTCCTTTCGAAGAACAAAATGCAATAGCATAGCAAAAGCCCCGTTTGCACACCTTCTCAATCGCTAGCCCCAATTTTCTTCCCAGTTGACACCTCGGCCATGCCACAAGGAAAGTAACGTCTGTGTGAATAACATTAACTGTTTCATAGTATCCCAGTTCTCTCTGCAAGTGCAGTTACGAGGTGCCAACCAAACCAAATTCGCATATTACGCAAGCAATCTCCCCGTATTACGCATCGTTCAAATTGCACTCATTACACAGAACAGCACAAGGTGGTCCCTGTATGGACAAATTATTCCACACAAAAAAATATACTATCAACCCTTTTAATTCATTGCATAAATTACACATTGAATTAAGGATAACTTCTGCATGAACACTGGGCAGACATTTATCAATCTATGCTCACATTGGAAATAAGAGCAAAATATGGCTCTCTGCATTCTTTCTTACTGATATGACTAGTATTTCTGTATGAAACTGCACAAGTTCTTGGTTGTTTATATTCTGAAAATGTACAGCATATGACCTTTTTTTTTTCTGAACATGTGTGCTACCGTCACTGCTTTGTAGAGGTAGCTGTAAACCTCTGTGAATTTGCTTGCATTTCAAGCAACTTTTATCCGCACTCTCGTCAGTTGTTGATAGAAATAAAGAAGTTATTCTTCTTATTTGTATAGCATTTTCCCCCAAGCCAGGTTCAAGCATTGGCGTGGCTTTGTGGTAGAACACCTTCTTGCCTCGACTCACGCAGAAGTCCTCGGTTTATTTACCACTTGATCAAAACACTTTCATTTGAATCTCAAAGTTTACGCCATGCGTGATGCTGACTATTGCTCAAAACTAACAATCACGACACTGGAGTCTGTGAAATGAGCCCGTAAACACTATTGTGCTTTTTAAAAAGCATGTATGTGGAAGGAAGTATAGATGTGTCTAGCGCAAGTTGACTGGGCAGTGGGAGCCTTGGCTACATCGAGAGATTTTTTTAGAGACGACTGAGTGTTTTGTTCTGTCATGACCTTAAAAAAGAATGAACCGTAAATTAAGCGGGACAAAAAGCCATGTGAGTGGCATGTCAAGAGGGAATGGCTTATGTAGATGCTGCCACAGATTGCATAAATTTGTGGTCTTCAGACGACGACATGATGTGCCTACTCAAAAGTGAACCCTTCCCATAGGTAGCAAAAAACCACACAGTGTTTAGAAGCTCGAAATGGGAGATGTAACGAAGATATTGCATGAGAATGCTGAGATGGTATTTAATGAGTGTTCTTCCCATTGCAGCTCGTTACATTGGCACAAGAAGTCTGGTCCTCGATTGTGTAACAAATTTTTTGTTCAAACAGCTTTAGCACGTGCTGGCACACCGTACTAGTGTGCAAGAACAGCTCAGCTTCATGAATCTTGATTTAAAATATCATACCCAACTTCTCACATTTGGCAGAAAAAGGTTCATTATCAATGCAGGATATGAAAGCAAAGTTTTAATTTTACTCCAGTTGGCAATGTCAGAGTTCCTCTCATATCCGCGGCACATTCAAATCAGAAAAACCCATAAGAAATTGCACAAGATGAAGCGGTGCTCCCTTAAGAATGTACTTTTCACAGTCTACAACCAACCACAGCCACTGTCAAATATTCACGCTGCCGCAGCAGGGCTACTTGAAAACTTCAGGACTGCATCCCTCAATACAAATATAATGCTTAAGTATTCAGTATATCCAGGAACACATTACACAATCTCAGGTGGTCAAGGCTGATATGGAGTCTCAGGTTCCAGTGTGCATGATACTCTGTTATAGTCATGGCACCACGTCAAACTTCAGAAGTTTTTTTGCTGGTCATGTTTTTTTTATAGCAGATAAAGACTATCATTCTGTTATCGGTGGTCGCTTCGCTATTTCGCAGATATAAAATATGAATAGAGCTTAACATCATGGTTAACCTGAAATTTGCAAAACACCAAACCTTGCAGAAGAACACTCCTCAGGCTAATCAGGATGAACACCGCCAAAAAGACTATGTGGCTGCATTCATCCGTAGAACAAATTACCAGCAGTCAGAGTATAAAAATGTAAGTTAGAGTATAAGAAATCTACAGACATTAAGGCATTTACGTGCATTGGATAAATGTTTCAGTTCACCTTATTATTAATAACTTGCTCATTTCCAGTGATGAAAAAGGGCACAGCGTGTTAAAAGCTGCTTGACAAACGAGCAATGTGGCAGAAGCGTGCAGTCAGCGCTACAACGCAGGCAGCGATTGATTTGTGATTTGTGGGGTGTAGCGTCCGAAAACCACCATATGATTATGAGAGATGCCGTAGTGGAGGGCTCCGGAAATTTCGACCACCTGGGGTTCTTTAACGTGCACCCAAATCTGAGTACACGGGCCTATAACATTTCCGTCTCCATCGGAAATGCAGCCGCCGCAGCCGGGATTCGAACCCGCGACCTGTGGGTCAGCAGCCGAGTACCTTAGCCACGAGACCATCGCGACGGAGCCGCAGGCAGCGATAGCACACATTCAGAATACAAAAGATAAAAAAAAAAAATGTTCTGCCACAATAAACAGCCAAAGAAGTAAAAATTGACCTCGTATCTGCATGTTATACTGCAAATATCGTCGAAAGACGACAGTCTTGCGTTTGGAGAGAGTGAACAAAATGTTTATTTGATGTTCCTGCGCAAGAAAATCGGTGAATGGTATTTTGGAGACGCTGCGTTAGAGTGCCGCGAGCATGTGTCGGAGGCAAACGAGCGCATCAAGACACGTCACACGTGAGACATGAGCGTCATCTGGCAGTTATCTTAGAAAACGAAGCGTGCGGCTTTGGGACAGGCGCTCGTCTCAGAGGTGACAAGAGGTAGGACTCGAGAAGACGGGTAGATGCCACCACCGTGCCGTCTTAGCAAAGCGCTGGAAACACTCGCCTTTTGGAGCAAGCGTTGCATCGTCAGCGCAGCTGATAAGCGCTACGGTCTTCAGAACTACTTTGTATGCCTTTTCTAGTAAAAAAGGCACACATACAGACTATTGACGTGTTGTTACAGTGCCTCAGATATGCGCAATAATTGCTTCTTAATTGACAATTGCACAAGTATG